GTGGCTTCAAACGGAACCCAGACCTACAGCAGTGCTCCCCTGCACCACCGGAACAGAAGCGAGCAGAGCAGCGAGAGATAAGGCCTACCTCCCAAGGCCACAAGTCCTTTAGGAGCTGCCTCTGCCTTTCCTTTCTCTTCCCAATTAAGCAGTACTTCTCCCCGTTTTTATCAGTGTGGCCAACTGGCGTCTGTCTAGTTCTCCAACCCCTCAGAGCTATACCAGCAGGAACTGGTACTCCTGTGTATCCAGACAGAGATTCACATGCGTTCCCCATTCCGGGTACCTTTAATGGACATAGGCGAACTTCCCAACAGTCAAGTCTGCTGCCGCAGACAGGAAAGGACTCCGCTGGAAGGAAGTGAGCCCCCACGTGCTAACCATGTTCACGCACAGAGCAGGGGGTACTGCAGAAAGAGGAAAGCAGGGACTTCTAGGTTCCTGCTGGCCCCGACCTTTTTGCTCCCCCAACACAGACGTAATTCCCGAGCTCTACTACACAGTGAACTTCACAAGGGCTACGTGGAATACAACATAAAAGACACACTCCTGATCTCTGACTGGGGAGTAATTTTTCCAAGCATCCGAGTTGTTCCCAAAGGTCAGCTGGCTTTCCTCATAAAAAATGGAGCCTTCCCTGAACGCAAGAATAAGGAACTAGCACACTCTTAAGATCAATGGATACTGCAGTAGAAACACAGATTTTGCTGTCTGTCTCCATCCACACAAAGGGTCCAGGGTGGAGGGAATTCTAAGAGCATAAAGGCCTAGACCACGTCTGAGTAATCAAAGCCTAAAGTAAGCTCCACTCACAACACACTTCCTAATTTTTAAAAAACACCACGATCGTACAGAGAGATCTAGTTACTAACATATTAATGGTCCTGGGATATTTCTCAGATACGCTCTTCAAATGCTTCCCAGGTTGGGCAGATGTGCTACAGCCCATGTGGACACCAAACTCTTTCTCTCGACTACCAGATGCTCAATTCCAGCTCACGCTCTCAATCTGCATCTTTCTTCTCTATGATCTTTCTTCACTCACCGCTACTATAACTTTCACTCCTGGAAGAAAACTGATCAGAAAAACCAACTGAGAAAAACGTTTCCTATCTAGGCCGGGATGGACGTAGACAGGGTGTAGGGCCGCTGGAGACACCGCTCCCGCGTCTGAACAGCCAGCCTGATGGCAGCTGCAGCGCGCAGGAGCCTGGCACGTGTGCCGTCGCTGACGCCTGTGAGAGACGCTGCTGCTGGCTCTGCGTTCGGAAAGACCTCCCAAGAGCAGGCCAGGAAACGTCCCTCGGTGCCAGGCCACTACACGGTTTCCAGGAACACCAAAGCACTAGAGTTCCTTCTCCCACATATGGAAAAAGACCCAAAATATAAGTTTCCTACCACTCTTGGAAACGATCCCTTGGGAGAGAATGATACTACTTGCTTCCAAAAATCGATAGCTACGAACGAGGAGAGTGGCTCGAGACGCTACAGACCTCCTAGCGACTTCGCCCCATCGCCCCCCAAAAGAAGGAGTCTGTCGTTCTGTCTCTGGGCAGATGCACACAGTGCCTTCCAGAACCCACCCACAGAAACACGCAGGCAGAGGCTGCCCGGGTGAGGGGAAGGCGCCTACCTGTGTAGCCGGCAAGGGCAGCAGCAGGAATGACAGGCTTGTCCTTGTTGAGGTCTGCACGGTCCCGCACATAGTCCTTGAAGGTGCCCTTGGGCTTGTGGCTGGGCAGGGCCGCCGGGTAGTCCTCGGAGTCGAAGCTCTCGTAGGAGGGAACGCGCTGCAGGCTGTTGAAAGACGACTGGCTGCTCCAGGACTGGATGAGGCGGTCACAGCTGTCGTAGCTCTCTATGCTCTCGAAAGAGTCCTGGCCCCCGAGTTTACCTGGAGACAGAGGAGGAGGCGGGAAGAGCACAAGGGAGGAGGGATTGGGAAAGAACAACTGTGAAATCCCTCTTACGGAGGACAGACTGCTGATCAGACCGCAGGAGGGACGGAGGAAGGGAGGGGCCGGTGGGAATGGAAGCTCCAGGAGTCGTGGGGTTACTCCGGGGCGAGGGCTGCCCGGGCCACAGGCTGAGAACCCACCGCCACTCTGCTGCCCGGTCGCATAGCTCCTGGTGAGACTCAGAGTCAAATGCTGCTCACGGCTGTCAGAGACACACAGCAGCGTGTGGAACCTCAAGAATTCTAAAGCCAAAAATCTAAAAGCTGAGAATCGCGCACGTTATTATGGGATTTATGGCTGATGTATCGGGCCCAATGAATAAATGAAGAAGTTGGAGCGGTGTCAGGCTGAGTTCCTTATTCCAATCAAGCCACTGAGATGATTTCAAAAGGCCCAATTTGGCAAAATATTTTGGTCATAAGAAAAAAAAAATTCCATTAGACTAAGAGCAGATTAGCCTTTTTTGACCTTGGAACTAAAGTGTTATTTTTTGAGCATTTTTCCCAAATACTATTTTAAAATGAAATACATGTGCTGCCTCTATGCCCTCTCAAATACAGTGAGAATTTATGAGATGCTTTTTCCAAGAGATAAAAAAAAAAAAAAAACACTATCACTATTCTAAACAGAAAACCATATTCTTTATCCTCTCCAGTAAAATTCTATACTTGTAATGTATACTACACTGGAAACGTGTGGAGAATTAAAAAAAAAAAAAAGGAGTTGATTAAAGGGTTAAGTCCATAGCAGTGTCAGAAACCCTTTGCTCTGTGAGTTGCTTAAGGCATTCTTAACTGACCACAAGATCATGCAAGTTCATTAATTTCCCAAACCAGGTTATAAACAGCTGCTATGATTGCTCAATAGCTCCTAGAGAAATTTCCACTGGCAAAAAATGCCACTAGAAAGGAGGCTAACCAAAAAAAAAAAAAAAGTTTTGAAGGAAAACAAAATGCATCTAAGAGCTAACAAGGCTCACAGGAATGTTTTCTACATTCTACTTTCAGATTCTTTTCAGGTAACCTACATTAAATCACGGGAGATTGGACGGCCACCTTAATTCAGCACCAAGCAAGAGGCAAAGGGACGTGACGAATACCCACGTAGAAATATCTGTCAGTCAACTCCCAATTGTGCAGGGGTGGCTGATCTATAAATTTCAAATTCCAGAATAACATTGGCTTATACAACCTCATATTAGTATGCTTCTGGTATGTTTTCCCTTCCATAACAGTGAAGATTGGTTAAAACAATAAAATTCAAAAATGAACAGGTGCCAAAACCAAAATTAAATATATAGGAAAATATGTTACTGCCAAGATTAAAAAGAAAATTCCAGATACAATGTATTCAATCGAGCATGTACTTTTTGTATAATCCACTGCTGTGGATTTGCTGTGCCTCCTTCCCCCCCACCCCACCCCCATGCTGCTTTTAACAGAAAGGTGGTCCTGTCCAATTCATTTCACTCCTTCCTCTACTTACCCATGCAGAGGAGGGGAATCTCTAGAAGGCAAATTAAAGAGCTTCATGGATTTATCAGCCCTGCCTACCCAGTCCACGGTCACACTGGTAGCTGTCTATTACTATTACAGATGAAGGAGTTGTCCCTTCCAGAAATTCACATTCAATGAATCGGGAAAGCAGCCTACAACCAGAATGCCATAGCCTCTTTTTAGCAGAACAGGAATTTTTGTGGAATCTCGCAAAAGATGTTTGTTCATACTAGCTATTGATCTTAACGGTCATTCATTTTCTCCTTGAGACAAACACACCCAAAGCCTAAGAAAGAGGATTTGTATTTTCATGAAGAACACCCCACTGAGTCACTGATGTTTAGGCAGTATTTATGTTTACGTCTCTCTGAAATGATTCCATCTCTATAGCCATTTCTATATTCGAAGGGCAGGGAAGTGAGGTTTTCCACAAGCATGAGTTAAATCTCCAAGGAGTCCCAGCAGGCAAAGGCACTAACCTGGGCCGTAAGCAGCCTGGCAGCCCCCAAGCACCAGCCAAATGCCACCCTGCTGAGAGCTGTGGTTTACAACAGGCAGCTTTCATTTTAGCTCCACTTCACAACTCTAGAGCTGGGAACCTTCGTTTATGGCTATTTTCTTTAAAAATGGGTTGAATCCGACTGAATTAGATACTCAGTTTTGCTACTGTGCTCATGCAGGGCAGTGTGTCCTCTACGATGTCCACCGGCCAGCGTTTCTGAGAAATGCCTCGGCGAGGTCCTCCCACAGCTCTCTGACTTCACTGAGCAGACCTCAGCGCACTCGAAACGGCAGACGGAAAAGCCCCGCAGCAACCCACTGAACCGTCCAGCGCAGCAACCCACTGAACCGTCCAGCGCAACGACAGTCCTCGGAGTCCAAGCACGGGGGACGCGGAAGCACTCTGCATGCTCTAACGCAGGAGACGAGGACTGTGCTACGATCATCAGTAGCAGTGATCAGCTCGCAGTCACACTCCTGGTCTAGGCCAATCATACCATCTCAGAGTCCATCAGCCCTTGGACTATGTCCTGTTGGTAGCATTTGTAACATGCAGAAAATGGTCTTCCCCTCAAGCTTTTGTAGCCTGAACTTGGAGGGAGGGAAGAAGAGTGGAGCCACAAAGAAATACCTCATGCCTCTTCGTAAGGGTCACTTTGGGTCCGTAGTCATTAATTTGGGGTCAGAAGGGTGGTGGGGATCAAAACCAAGAACCAAGGAGAGGAGAGGGAGGGAGGAGGAACAACCGCACAGATGCAAAGCCAGACGCAATTCCGAAACAGCGCGACGGCAGATCCACCCAAAGTCACGGCACGGCTGAGCCCAGACCCGCGGACCAGCCTCACTGCTACGTGTATGAAAACGTCCCCTGAGAAAGGTGTTCTAATGCTTTGACCTGCTCAAAAAAAAAAAAAAAGACACACACATACATACACTTGTGTGTATGTATTTGAATAGACACGCACCCAAAATAAAAGAGTCAGAAAGGGGAAGGCCGGCTGGTCCCACCCAGCCCCTTTGGTCTGAAACACAAACACCCCGAGGCCGTCAGGAGGAAGATCGCAGGTTCTGATTCTGCAGGGACTTTCCCTGCGCAGGGCTCGTAGCTACCCCTAGGCCTGCTGGGAGGGAGCGTGAGCCCAGATACTCGAGGAAGATGACAGTGTGCACGGCCCGTGATGTGTGAGGGGTGACACTTCAAAGTAAAGGTGCCTCTGGGCTCTGCTCCAGGAACCGCAGACCAGGTATCACGCACGGCCAGGCACTGCGCCGCGCTCGCGAACAGGCCAGCCCAAGCCTCGCTTCTAGGACCAGAGGCCTCCCACCACCCCTTGGACCAGATTTCTCCTGTTCCTCTTACTGGTTGTAATTCTTTCCTATTTATCCACCAGAAAAGTCATCTTTTTCAACTTTTCAGAAATCAGCTACCTCTTGCTGGAAGAATAAACCCCTCCTTAGAGCAGACAACACTTTTCCCAGAAACAGAACAATTTGGGCACTTTACTAGGTAGGTTGCACCTCTGAGTGTCTACGTCCTGATCCTAAAAACTGTTTCATGCTTTATGTCAGCCGGCACTATTTTGAAACACTTACTTCACCACCAGTAAATATTTTATCATTATTATAATAGTCACGCTAACAGGAGCACCTTCTCTTGGAAACCTCTGGCGACCTCTTTCCCCGGGTCCTCCAGCTAAATACACACTTCGACCACACTGCTGATGACTGGTTCCAAATAAACTGTTGGTTAACCACCCTGCATGTCCCCACACCAGCGAAGTCACAGGAGGCTAAAGATCCCAGGCTGAGCAGCAGAGGTCACGCCGGGTACCACGCCAGGAGGTAAAGTCAGACCCAGGAATACTCTGGGAGGAGCACGGACACACGCTAAGCCGAGGGTCCTCCAGGATGGTCACCTGAGCCACTCGTGTTTGATTACGTCCTCCTCAAGCAAAACCCTCTCGAAGAAAATCGAGCGTACCTACGACCAACTTCAACTCGAGTTGACTTTACCCAAATAAGACATTCGATTGTTGATCCTGTCAGAATTGAGTCCCACCGTAGACCCACGGTCTTCGTCATCATGATGGATTTGGCTAAAATACCATGATAGAAAGTTCTTAATATCTAAACGTTCTAAGACTGGAAGGCAGAAACTGCAGAACCTACAGGTCTAACAGGTGAGGGAAAAAATGGGACCCGAACGACTCACAGGGTTAGGCGGTTGGTGTAAACGCAAGCGCCTTCGGAGAAGAAATCTGACCTACCACGGCTGGTCCTCCCCATGCACATGTTGTCCGGTGTCACGACTTCTTGTTTAATGGCAAAGTAGTCAGTCTGCAAGGTGTCTGTCTGGAGAGGGTCCCGGAGAATGACCGAGGGGTAGTCGTTCTCATACTTGAGGGACAGGAGTTCTTCCGAGCTGATGGGATGGAGCGTCTGGTAAGACTCCGTGATGAAGCTGGGCTCGGAGAACTCCGACGGAGGGACACACTGGGCGTGCTCGACACCATAGCCTGGAACAGAGGATGTTTGCCGTCGGAGAGAGGAGAGGTTTGTATCTAAAACAAGCAGTTCCTCATCATCTGCAGTGACCCCATGATGGGGAATGAACTGGCTACCTTAGAGAATAAAAGGAACATATTTTAAGTCAGAAGGGCTTGGGTTTTTTTTTTTTTTTTTGAGACAGAGTCTCACCGTGTTGCCCGAGCTAGAGTGCCGTGGCGTCAGCCTAGCTCACAGCAACCTCAAACTCCTGGGCTCAAGCGATCCTCCTGCCTCAGCCTCCCGAGTAGCTGGGACTACAGGCATGTGCCACCATGCCTGGCTAATTTTTTCTATATATTTTTAGTTGTCCAATTAATTTCTTTCTAATTTTAGTAGAGACGGGGTCTCGCTCTTGCTCAGGCTGGTCTCGAACTCCTGAGCTCAAACAATCCACCCGCCTCGGCCTCCCAGAGAGCTAGGATTACAGGCGTGAGCCACCGCGCCCGGCCAGGGCTTGGGTTTTTAACCTTGCTTTACGACTTAAGAGCGATGGCCCTTGACAAGATACCTCTGTTTTCTGACTTAATTTCCTCGTCTATAAAGTGGGGAGGATTGCGATCTTCCTCAGCACACTGTGATGAAGATGAAATGAATGCACAGGTAAAACGCCTAACAACGTTTGCAGCACACAGCAGCTCTTGATACAGAGTAGTTCGTATCATTGTGTTATCGGAATAAAAATTACAATAAAGTAAGAAGATAAAATGCAAACAAACCTGGTTAAGACTCCCTTTGAAAGCAAGGCCATCGGATAAGACAGCCCCGCATCTTGGGGCTTACATCAGTGTAACAGCCGCACACCCCCTCTCTGCCTCTAGCCGCCTCTCCACTATGGTTGAGTATCTTACACTAAAAAGGAGGAGGCTTGATTTCCTATAATAGAATTTGAAGCTGCGAGGCACACTCTTACAGAGGGACTTCAGAGGAAATGCTGTCATCTCCACGAGCGAAAAGGAAAGAACAAAGGCCAAGATCAAATCCCTGACCCCAACCCTCTGCTGGCCACCAGAGTGCACAGAATCAAATAGTATCCAAAGCAAGTCAAGTTGTATTCTCTCTGTGTGACTTTCACATTAAAGATACCAGAGAGAGATCCTAGCGTGTAGGAACTTGTAGGTGATTCGAACGTGCAAACAGGTTGAAATCTTTTGCTTTCTGGAAGATAAGCAAATAACAAAGAAGAGTCTACATTTAAGAAAATACTATTGTCCATAGAATTACCATGAAGGAGCCTGAGATGGGCTAGGCAAAGGTTCTTTCCAAGCTTTCTATTACAATGAGCAAAGTGAGGGAAGAGGAGCGGAGATGAACTTACTAATGAAGTAATCCGAGGTATACCGGGATTCTGGATACGTAGGGTTGACTCCGTTAACTTGATACGGTTTTACATCCTCTGTAACAGACAGGGTAGGGACCGAAACAAGGTCAATATGCAAGGAATGCTTCGACTAGAAGGACCTTGGATGCGAGGACCACAATGACCTCAACCCCTTCTCTAAGAAATCTGCGTGTTCATTAGCTGAGTTGGTGTCTGAGTCTACCCTGACTGGGGCCTTGTCTAAGGATGAGATCACAAAAATATGCCAAGTTTATTATTTCAGTAGCTGCAGAATGGGATTTCATATCTTGGAAAGAGCACCAGTGAGTAATCTCTAAGGGCTGGGAGAGCACTGAGCCCTCACTCTCGACGCTGTGCTGTACATGTGTGGCTCACACTAGAGTCAAAGGCATGACCAGGTTACCAAGGTCAGTCCCCAACCCTCAAACTGATCAATTCTAAAACTTTCCAGAAATGTATCATAATCTTTAGGCAGGCAGATTTTGTATCCTCCATTTCCTCTAACAGACGTCTGGTTTTTGTTTTGCATTTTTCCCACTACCCTCAGATTTCAAGTTCAGGCCCAGACAAGAAGCAGGACACTGGTAAGGTGACTCTGCTTGGTGAAATGTGGCCAGGCTCATGTAAGGGGAGAGAACACCACACCCAGACCACTGCCCAGACGCCAGCTTCTCTAGGAGGTGGCGGGCGATTAGGGACAGAAGGGCTCTCCCCTGAACTGGGAGAACCTGGGGTCCCCGCTTTCCCTGAGATGAAGGGCTACAGCCTGATTCCTGCATGGGGTAGTCTGATTATATTTCACTGTAAGAACAAGACATAAGCAGACAGTGTTGGTTTGGGTTTTCCCTCAGGTATTTGATAGCTTGTTGGGAGCACAGTCTGATGGGAAAGCAAGTTTGTGCCTGCACAGAAAAACAGTTCCCAGTTGAGATAAGGTGATTAAACTTTGCTTTAGCAGTTTATCAGATTGAAACATCCCCTGTACCTCTGGCCTCCACCCCACCCCAAACAGCTATGTTCTTTTGGTGCTGTGTGGCGCTAGTTTTGATTACAGAACAAAAGCTGTAGCCTCAGTACACGTATCTTGCTCATCTCTCCAAGCATCTGGATCTGCAAAGGGAGGATTCTTACTGCCTCTCTCAACAGAACATCGGGCGGGATGAGATGACCTTTGTTCTCTAACATGCTGAATTATATCCTAATGCTCCTAAATTGCTCCTTTGTAAGGTAGGCCACACCTGTCTCAGGGGCCAGAAGCTCCCCATGAGTCCATGCTATTAATATTATACAAAGAACACAGGACAGGAAGTTAAATTTAAAAAGTTAAAAAGATTTAAAAGTTAAAGTTTAAGGAAATGAGTTATATTGAGGAAATCACCTAACCTGAGCCTCATTTTATGGACAAGGGTGCTAGCAGTACTTGCACTTCCTACCTCATAGGGTTGTTTTGATAATCCAAATAGAAAATGTGTTTTACAGCGCGCTTTGGAAACAGGGAGACACTATATAGACATTCATTGTAACTGTGACCAGAGACCGGCTTAGATGCCCCAAATCACCAGACAGCTCCCTTATGGCAAATAGCAACATGCTCTCCCAGTAGAACATACTGGGTTGCACAGTCTGGTGGAATCTGCTGTTAGGTTTAGGAGCCAACAGTTAAATCAGATCTGTCAGGAGCCTGCCGTATCTTCTCCCTCTATAAACAGGCCGCTCACGTCAACACGTATGAGCGGGCGTGTGTGCGGCTACACGGGGAACACGCTGGTGCTCCGGCACAAGCTGCCTGCCCGTCCTCGGTAACAGCAGCCACAGAAAGATTCACCTGGCTCTTTACCATGTTTATTTATTATTTTGCAACAGAAGTTGAAGAGAAGGAATAAAGATAACACTTCTGAGCCCAGAGGAATCTAATTTGGGTCTTCCTGGTACACTGCAGAGTGGAAACGATTCTTAAACAAAGGAAGGTATTATATGGACCAGAAGTGCTAATCCTGAGCTTTGCTCCTTCCCCTAGCGTCTGTGCCAAGGGTTGGAGCTGGTGACCACAGGGACAGGGTGGGCCTGGGTTAGAGAGGGCAATGGGCTTCTAGGCTTACAGTCAGCTCGAGGGCACTGCTGACTGCTGGTAACTGCAATTTATTTTAAGAAGAAACTCAGAAAAATAAGCGCAAAAACACCCAAGTTTGCCGCCTGCTGCTGTTTCTATACTCAGCCAGGACTGTGGTACATGAGTCACTTTGTCCAAAAAGGTTGGAAGAGGCTGGTAGGGGAGGCCATGTCATTATGAGGTTGCAACACGGCGTCCCGAGATAACCCCAGTCCCTGTCCAGCTGTGGAGGGTATGCTGCGCGGCTGCGATTCCAGTCCGCTCAGGGGGCGGAGAGGCCTGTGCTATTAACAAGCTCCACGCTTTCCTGTGGATGGGACCGAGCATCGCGTGGCCACAGATCAAGGGAGTGTGTATGACGGCCAGAAAAACAAAATACTCTGGTGTTGGCTGTGGGCACTGCCTGTTCAAACACAGCAGGGATCTGAGATTAGGACCAGGATCAGAATTCTGCATACCAGGGGAAGTTCCAGGAGTACAACACTGATGAAGATTAAAACCCAAACCTCCGGTGCACAGAAGAAAAAGGAGCTAACCCTTACCTACGAGCACCTGCTACGTGCTGGCACGGCACCGGGCACACCGCGTGGACCATCCGTGCCGTGACGGCGCGCTCCCAGACAAAGGCCTCGACATCCCACCACCAGGCGAGCCCCCCAGCGCCCATCTCCCCTCACAGCGGCCCACACGACCTCCGCCTCTCCTTACTGCCACATACTCACCTTTTTGCAGGATCTCGAGATGTTCCCATAAGATGTCCCCAACGAAGTCCGGGGCCAGCTCGAGGAAGCAGTCTTTACCCAGGGCACAGAGGGCTGCTCCGTTCATACAGAACTTCTGGAAGTCCACACCCTTCAGGCTGAACTCGTTCACGGCCCACATCACCCAGTCCCGAACGTGGGTTTCTGTCCACTGCCGGGGGTCTGGGGGAAGAGAGCAGAGGACGATCCACAGGTCAGGCCCGTGACTCCGGCCTGAGCCTCAGAGAACGCGAAAGGGCCCGAACTCTGCCGAGGGCGCGATCCTAGTCGGAGAACGAGGCAGCACCAGCCTGTAAATACGTATCAGGGGCACCTTCCAGAACCCTCCTCCGCATTCGACACCCCACGTTCTCCGTCTGGCCAGCTGGAGACCGCCAGCACCACCGAGACGTGCCGTGAGTATTCTCTGCCCTCCACTCAGGCAACGATTTCCACAAATCCCTTCTCTCCCTGCCTTATTCCCTTTGGACTTTTTAAAAAGCCCCGGACGAGGGAACAAATGGCTTCTTTAATGGCAATAAGAACAAAGTAAAGGGTGTCCTAGAGATGACGCATGCACATGCCCTTCTCTGCTCTGAACTCTTACGGTGTACTTCAGACCATCATTCTCAATTACTTTTCCTTAGCCACGTATGTTTAGTAACAATCGTAGCCATCAGTAGGAAGTCATTCAAACGGCACTTGGTAATAACATCAGGTGCCCATATTGCCTGGGCACTCGGCAAAGTCTGTACGTGTCACAGCCCTGCTCTGAGCAGCACTGAGTATGGACAACACACGCCCTTCACACCTGAGGCTCAATGTGGCCACACCCACCAATGACACATAAGGACCCGGAGGAGGGCAGGCTGTGGTGCCCACGTCACAGCTGCTCCAAGGGGCCCCTCCAACCCTGCTTACGACCTCATGAGCTGTCAGAACTGGCCGTTCTGACGACAGGATTACTCTCACACAGTAGAAAAGTGTTCTTTCTGCTCTCAGTTGTTCATAAAATGTTCTCTGGGGAAGGCTTACTCCAGTCAGTTCTCCTTTCTGACAACTCTAATCCTCTCATGCTCCCGAATAAACCCTTTCACATAAGGACACCCACGGAGAAACACATTTTGCCAAAGTACATGGAAGAGAGAAAAGAGCGATCAGTAAATTCCAAGAAATGCAGCTCAGAGGTCACCCAACGGTGGCCCACAGTGACCCTAAGACAGTGGTTCTCAAACTCATCTGCAGGTTGGAATCACTTGGGGACCTTCAAAAACACTGATGCCACCAGCGATTAAGATCTCATTGGTCTGGAATATGGCCCGGGCTGTGGAAGTTTCCAAGGATCCACAGGTGATTCTAACGTGCAGACGAGTCTGGGAACCACTGTCCTAAGACCGCGATGGCGGGACAAGGCTGGGCGACGGAGAAGCGTGGACGTGTGCGTCTGTGGTTGTTCTAACAGACGTCAGCGACGGCGCACCACGGCTGATTCAAGTGTGGTTGGTCTAACGTTTGCCTCACACACTGCAGGTGAGGAAACGAACCTTCTTCCCTAAGGGTCTGGCCCCAGCCTCTCCCTTTCCAACTACAAAAACATACCTTTTGGGATCCCCAGGCGTTGCTGCTCTTTAGTAAAACCACTGAAAGTGGCTTTTAATGCTTGAGACATCATTTCTTTGCTGCTTGGAGTTAATAGCGGGACATCTGCACATTCCATATCTGTAAGAAAAAACAGCTCGTGAATAACAAAAACTGCATAGGTGATCGACCACTCATAAACGCAACGAGGCATGGATGTGCTGAAGAACGCAGGCTGAGAAACAACAGTGCTGACATCATCAGCAGAGCAGGTGAAGTTTAAGGGGCTTTCCACGACAGGCTAGGCCCCTAAAAAAAAGTCCTAACTCTTGCCTAAAATGTCCTGTATCCCTGACAAACAGAACGTGTTTACTCCTTCTGTACACCTCTGCTAGTTCACCCACAGTCCCTGCTTACCTCTCCCACTCACTATTAGTGTTACCATGTGATTTCAGTGACCTGTGAAAAGGCAGTAACAATATTCATTCATTCAACAGATAATTATTTAGCACTTGCTATGTGCAAGGAATTAGAGAAACAGCATTGAATACGACAGAAATGGTTACTGCCCTCAAGGAGCTAGATACCTAATTCTTGCAGTGGATTCAGTCGCTAAAATTCCATTTACACAGTTCAACATTCCAATACAATGTCCATAAGGGATTCAGAGGGGAAGTACGGTACGCAATGTTAACGTGTAATAGAAATTCCTGCAAGTCCTGAGGAATCCGGAAAGGCCTCCCACGGGAGAAAAGAGGTGTTTGACTTGAGATGTGAAGGATGCATAGGAGTTTAGGAAGGACAGAACACGCTAGACCAGGGGTTCTCAAAGTGTGGTTCCCTAGACCAGCTACATCAACATCAACGAAAAATTGTTAAAATGCAAATTTTCAGCCCCACTGAATCAGAATCTCTGGGGTGAAACCCAGAAATCTGTGTTTTTCAATACAGAATCCATGCAATCTGATGACCGCTGAAGTTAGAGGACCACAGTCTTAGACAAAGCGAAGAGCATAAATGAAGGTTATGGAGGGGAGGAGGTGATATATTTTAGTGTCAAAAAGATCAACACAGCTGGAGCAGAGTGATCAAAGAGGACAGTGCCTGGAATGAGGTGGGAGAGCGGAGCAGGGAGCATGGCAGGGACTTGTCACCTCACCCCGGGTACAACAGAAAGTTGTCGAGGGTTTTACACAGAGAAGTGGCACGACCACATTCTGCTTTACGAAGGTCCCCTTGGCTGTCCTGTAAGGAATGGTTTAGGAGGTGAGCACGCAGGGATGTGGGAAGACTTGCTAGAAAGTTACTGCATTCGTCTTGGTGAGCGGTAACAGTGGCTTTGACTAAGAAGGTGGCGGCGCAGATAACGTAAGCGAGCAAAGCTGAAGAGCATGCAGGACGTCACATCTGCAGAACCAGATGTACGCAGGTGGGAAAAGAGTGAGGTAGTGAAGCCTGCAGATCCGCAAACGCAGCGTCACTCGCCACGCCCACACGCCTTTCCTCCGCCAAGACTGTTCATTCCCGCAGAGTCGGGAACACCTGCTGCCTTCGTCTCAGGCACATTTCACAAAAGCTGGTAAGCAAAGAAATGAGCCCAGATTCCCCACTGGTTTTCCTGTGGCCATCTGGCAGCAACACACCTTCCTGAGGTGACTGCTAGGAAACCTGCATCTTCAGTGCGGCCTGGGAAACTGACCGGTCAGTGGCCACGTTCCAGGCCCGGCTGCTGCGGTTCTGCACCTAGCCGTTTCTAAGCCGTGGCTACCTAAAAAATAATTCCCTGGACGTGCAGAATGTGTTATTGGTTGACTAAAACGGAAACACATAAGGGAAAAGATGACAATCGGTAACCTTTGGGAAAAAAGAAGCAGATATATTCCCTCCGAATGTCAAAACGAATGGAAATTACACTGCACAAAAGGAGGGCAGGCAGCACTTTCCCTCCTGTTTGCCTTTAGCCATGCTGTCAGGAAACTGCTGGAGTCCAGGCTCTGCCCTGGCAGAACAGGAGGGCTCCCTAACTGCTCTCCCGGGCCCTGCCAATGATGGGGAATCTGGAGTTCCAGGGAGTGGTGAGTTTGGGTTGCCCTGGGACATGCCCAAAAAAGTCTAGTGGAAAAATCAACATGTCTCCAGGAAGGTTGACAAAATGATGGAAAATCCCAGATTGTTGGGGGGGGGAAATTGGGGAAGGGGATAGAACGTTGATTACATAACATCCAGCCTTCAAACAATGGAGTAATCAAGTGAGTCACGAAGACACACATGGCTGCTCCCCTGGCAGCTCCAGAAATGTGTTCCCTTAGAGTAGAAGTCAGTTTCACTCTAGAGAAGGGGACCGTCAGCTGACACACACGTTGATCAACAAACGTTGAGCGCATTAAATTTTTCCAAATTTGAACCAACTCTCCTCCCTTCGCTCTCACCCAACACACATTCATGAACTTGAACTGTGTAGGTTTGCTTTGTGTGTTTGTTCCCTCCATTAGATTTATGATTCGACGAAAAGGACTTCGCTGATGGCGGAAATTGGCCAGGACAACACGTGTGGAAAGCCAGGCCAGGCCAGCGGTGCCGCCGCAAGGGGAACTGCAGGACGAGGCTGATCCGAGGCCCCGGGCTTCCTCCCCGCGAAAGCCTGGGCAGCGCGCGGCCAGCGTGAGAGGAGGGCCGAGGACGACGGCAGAAAGCCTGAGAACGAATTCCCCGCGTCTGCTTCCCACAACTGCACGTGCCCTGGCAGAGCGATCTGGACGGGCTGCTGAGCTGACAGCTCTCCGCTAGTTCCTGCTTCCTGTCGGGGGGGCCGCATGTCCAGCTCTGCACTTGTTCTCTTCCAGGGAAGCGGCTGCAATTACTTTTGCCTGTTCACCCCAATGCCATCTCCAAAAGCCCAGTCACACGTCCTGGGCTGCAGCTCACAGGGGCCCCGTTGGCAGTGCCCGGCTCTGCCCGCTGGCTGTGGGGCTCAAGTGCTGATCTCCTGAAAGAGAGGTCACAGCCCAGCTGGTGGACCCCAGCTGGTGGAAACCATCCCACACACTGGGGACCCCTGCACTGGGACACGATGAGCTCCAGAGAAGGAATCTCATTGTCCTTAGACCCAAAGGATTCGGATGGGAAAGTCAGAGCTTTACCCATGTTTACGAAGTGTGGAATTTTGTTTAGAAAAAAAAAAATCAAATCCCCTCTGTAAGTAAGTGAACAATTGGCAAGGACTGTCTTTTCCAGTGGTGTGAGACTTGCACTTAAATGACGACGAATGATCATGTTCAAAAGTGGATATTAATAGAAAATATTAAACTCATCATATAAAACACTAATGCAAACAGCCCCCTGTGTCGCTTGCTTATTACTGTAGCCTTTCTGTTAATTACACTGATCTATAACGGTAATGAAATCCTTATACCAGTGGGGAATCTGATATGGACCAGCCTAAGGAGACATCTCTGTTATTCTTAAAATATTTTACCTCATCACCTATTATAATGCTTTGACATTAGGTACCAAATATTTCTAATTTTAGGATCAGCATCTGGAAATTAATCAATACCTCCATAGACATTAACTAGTTGTATTTTACGGAAAGATACTGAGACTCCCTTTGAGTTAATCATTACAATATCTTAAATTCAAATAACATGTTTGTCTCCAAATGCTGAGAACATGACCTAGAGAAATGCTATTGCCAATCCAGTGCAGGCTCTAAACACAACGCACCGGAAGTTGAAGACATAAATATACCACAATTACATTAGGTTTCTTGCCCACTGTTTATTCCTTAGAACCCTAAATCTCAGCTCACATTTTTAAGAATGATCCTGGGTTTCTGGGAGGAAAGCCGTGCAGAAGCTAACAGATAACCGTCCCAGGACTGCACAGTATTGAGACAGAAGTGGGCCGGTGGCTTTCCCTGAATCGGGGGCCGTTATAAGACAGCGGCATTTTGAATGCAGAGAAACATCTGCTCATTTTTCATTGTGGCCTAACCCTGAGTTACCTCACAGATGTTTCAAGCGAAATACAAGACAGCGGTTTCCACTCACTTATATGCGACTTAAAGTTAAGGGCTGTTCAGTTTCCAAGAACCATTCAAGGGTATTTCTTTTCACGTCTTTTCATACCACCCTTCTCAATTCTTTGAAACCGAATGGCTCACACCAACAGTGTTACCCAGAACCTAAACTTGAGGCGGCTTTTGTCAGCAAGAGGTTCCAGACATCTAGCCTAGTGACTTCACATCGTTCCCAGCAGATGACAAGGGAAGACTGGAGCATCTGGGATCCGGGGTCAGGGATGAGAGACGCAGCCAAGAACAAGAAATCCAAGGTGCACGCCCCAGTTTTGTGTGACCACTGGACCGGGCCAAACTCTAGCGGATGACAATGACACTAGCCACGTGTGTTGGGTGTTGTCAGCATGAAAGAAACACCAAGAACGAATAACTTGCCTGACATCTGAAAACTGCTGCACAGTCTGCCGAGACCCTCCACACACACTGTTCCACAGTACCCTCACAAAATGAAACCTCTGAGAGCCCTAGAAAGGTATTACAGGGTCCCCATTTTATAGATGAGGAAACCAAGACTCCAGGATGTCGAGAGTGTGACCTACAGTTATTATAAGGTCAGGAAGAACCAGCCAGGGCTGGAAGCCGGTCTTCCGACTCTTAAAATCCAGGGTCTTTCTGCTCTGTTCCACTGCAAACAGGAATGGATCAGAGATCCAAGAAAATTAAAATTTTCAGAGCTGAGAGAGAAAAAATGGGATTTTTTTTATTTCTTACTTTAAAAATTAGATAAATGAGGAAATAATTAAAAACTTCCATAAAACCATTCCAAGAAACGCTGAGTTTCATATGGCTAGCCCCATAAGGACATAATTAACAACCATTTACAGAATCGACTGTAATCTTTTCCTTTCCTGGAACTCAAGGTAGTGTGAGGCTTTCTTCCTTCCACATGAAGCGAATGAATTAAATGACAACCTGGCTCCTTCCCTGTCTATGAGGACCCCTGAGTCACCCTCATGGGCAACTGTGATATAATAGAAGGTTAATTAGGTACATAAAGGCTTACTGAAATATGTTTCTTGAAGTAAAAGGAAACCAAGAAGAAACCTTCTGATTCACATGGGAA